GACAGAAAGTGAGAAATCACCCCCCAGGGGGGATGGTCACGCTGCAATCCCTTCTCCTCCATTCTCCTCTCGGGATCTTGGGCACGCACGCACACGCGCCCAGCGTGAGTTTAAGCCACCGGGTCCGGGACTCGAACCACGGTCGACTAAGTGGGAGTCCAGCGACATAGCCATTACACTAACTGCTGGTCCCGAAACTACCTTCTAACACCTCCTAGAAGGATGCTCCTTACCACTCCTTAGCAAGTTATTACAAAAGAAAGATGAGATTATGTAAAAACAGGCTGGTTTGAAAGAGATTAAAAGGACACAATATTTAGAAATCTGGAGCTTCACAAGGTTGAAAACATTTTAACTGGACTTGCACCCCCAAACAGCAAGAAATAAGATTGGTTTTGCTCAGGGCTTTTTTCAAAAGCTTTATACTGATTCAAGTAAGAGAATAAGGCAGTCATTCTCAACTAAGGAAGTTTGGTCCCCAAGGGAACACTTGGCAATGTCATAAGACACTTTTGGTTCTTGAAGCTGAAAGAGTGGAAGTCAGGGATGCTGCTACTTGCCCTGCAATAAAGAATGAACTGTTTAAAGGGTCAGCAGATGGAGTAATGGTTACATTGCTGGATTCCTATAGTCGACCATGGTTCGAGTCCCAGACCCAGAGACTTAAAACTCACGCCAGGTGTGTGTGTGTGTGCACGCTGAAAATCCCAAGAGGAGACTGGAGGAGAAGGGAATGTGGTGTGGCCATCCCCCCCCGGGGGGGGGGGATTTATTATTCTCTGTCTCTCCAGTGAGCATGCATGCCCTGTAGCAAAAATCTCTCTGAAAAAAATGAAAGAGAGAAGCAAAGAAAGAAAGAGAAGAAAAAAAAGAAAGAGAAAGGAAAGAAACAAAAGAATTAAATGGTTTACATTGCCAGCAGTTCTGAGGTTTGGAGACTGAGAAAGCCTGGGTAAAGGTCTGTAGCAAAGATTAGATTAAGTTTGCCTTCCTTCTTGAAAATAAAGGTGAAAGAATTATATTGAGAAAAGAGCTATGAGCACAATTCCTGGAAACAAAAGGACCTGAGTCTAAAGTTTCTAATCTTTTTTATTTACTCCCAAAGCATTCCACAAGATTACTTCAAATTGGCCATGGGATTGTTTTTTCCACAATACCAAAGGTAGCTTCAGACACTGTCAAGTGGTGTTTGTAGCAAAAAGTCAAAGAATTGTTTGAAACTCATCTCAGGCTAAATGATGGTTAGATGGCCATCAAGGTAACGCTGACATAACAGGTATAAAGATAAATATTTCTTTCAAAGATATTTAGAAGACACATAGATTTAAGCATCTTCCTTTGAAGACTATTTTAAAAATTTTTAAATGTACGTTTATGTTTTATTTTAAGAGCTAATGGGTTATACCTACATATTTTGAATGTACGTTAATGTGTTATTTTAAGAGCTAATGGGTTATACCTACATCCTTCATGTTTGCAAGGTCTTATTCTGTATTATAATCTATTTTTTGGCTAGGTTAATGCGACTGTGATGCAGTCATTTCTAAAATTCTTTCTCAGAATGCATAACTACTAATTTAGTGCTTTCCACATCACATTTCTTATTAGAGTTAAAACTTTAGCTAATAGAAGGAAGACGTGTTCATTTAAAATTCATTAGGGCAAAAGCTTTTGGAAAATTACATATACCTTTTCATGATCTTTATTCTCATCACACTGCTCATTTTCATTTGCAATAGACTTGGTGATGGCCCCTCTTAGTATTAAGGTACAAATGTGAGAAGGATTTAGCCTGAGGCCACAGTTCAGATCATAAATGGCTCTTTTGGTTTCTTTGCATGAGTTCCACACGAGCGCTCGAACACAGTATACATCCTGGAAGACATAAAGGTCACTTAAGAATGCTTACTCTTCAGGCTTTTGATGAAAAGAAACCAAAACCAGCGAGAAGAAGACATGAGGCAGCTAGCAAAGCATAGTATTGGGTTGCTGGGAAAGGCATGATGTGTTCTTCTATGCAAAAATGTGTTGACTTTCCTGAAAACCCAGAGCAGTCATTCATTTGCAAGAGCTAAACTTAGACATAACCTAAATCAATCAGTTCCCTCCATCTCAGTATCCTCATGTGCAAAATGAGAGACTAGGAAGAGAAATCTTTCAGGCTTCTCTGGCTATAAAATTACAGTCACCCTCTTTATTCATTGACCTCTTCAGCTTTGCTTGTCTTTCCAGAAGCTGCATACACCATTTGGGGACAAATTGTTAATAATGTTAATGCCACATGTTATAGTCTATTTCACTGAATGTCAAGTTCTTTTTTTAAAGTACATTTTAAAATGCACTTAGCAGAAGTGAATCAGCTATAGGAGAAGGTTGTTGATTATAATACATTTTTAACTTATTTAAGTCTTCCTAAATTTCATTTTTATACTCCAAGATGTACAATTTCCACTGACTTAAAAACCACAGAGGCCAGGCTATGGTGGAGTGGCTAAATATTAGGTTGTCAGTAAAGTCATAACATATTTTTCTGTTTCCCTATGTAAAAATGCATCATGACTATCCCAACCCAGTCTGACACTCTGTGGGGCCGGTCCTAAGTATGTCAGGAAGGCCCATACCCATGATGTGGGACTAGCTAAAGCTGAGTGTTGAACGCAGCATCGAGATCTTATTGGAGGTGCTCTCTGTGTGTGTTTTGCTTATGGAAGTAATAAATAAACTCCTAAACATAGTCAAGGAAATATACAGTAGTGTATATATATATATGTATATATATATATATACACACACAAATAATTATAATATGTAAAAAAGTAACAAGCATAGATGATAAAGGAAAGGATTTTAGGAATAGTGTACCCTTTTCTTTTTGTCATTTATTTAACTATTAAAATGTATCACTTACTGGGTTCAGATTATCCAAAGAAATGGCTTTGTTAGCATCCTTTATTGCTTCTTTCATCTGTCCTAAAGCAACGTAAAGAAAGTTGAGAATAAATATATCTTTCTATAATCTCTCTTTATATTTTATTTCCCGGGATTAAAGTGGATTATAAACAATCTGACCAATATTCACTTATATGGCAAATTCAGAGATGTTTCAATTCACTAAAGAGGTCTTACAATCATGCTAAAATTCCCACAGATTTATAAAGTGAGAAAAAACTTTTTAAAAATGAAAATGCAACATAGAGTGATCTAAAAGCAGTTGATGGTAGGAAGGGAACGTTCACCTCAGAGCAGAGTAGAAGAATTGGCTTTGGACATAGCTTACATTGGATGTAAAGATCAGCAGATAAGAAAGTGCTAAAGGGAATCAGCAGTTAGCATAATGGCTATGTCGCTGGACTCCCACGTAGTCGACCGCGGTTCGCGTCCCGGACCTGGTGGCTTACAACTCACGCCGGGCGCGTGTGCATGCATGCCCAAGATCCCGAGAGGAGAATGGAGGAGAAGGGATTGTGGCATGACCATCCCCCCTGGGGGGGTGATTTCTGGCTTTCTGTCTCTCTGTCTCTCTCTGTCTATCTGGCGAGTGCACGCATCCTATAGCAAAAAAACCTCTCAAAAAAATAAATAAAAAAAGAAAGTGCTAAAGAAAAAAGAAAGTAGACCATGATTTTAGTGGAAAACTAGCTTTAATAGTTCTTTACTTCTTAGGAGTAATAGAAAAAAATTTTAATAGTGGTCAAATAAGTAAGACTTGGATACCACTTTATGAGAAACAATGTAATTGCTTCCCCTTGAAACTTAATATTTTAACTATCTGTAGAGTTGAAACTGCTTCAACTGGAGATGAAAGTGGAGATTAGCAGAGGCTTTTGCTTCCTATGCATTAGTTACCTACTGCTGTGTAACAAATTACTACACTGCGAAGACCCTGGCCAAGGCTGGGTTCTTGTCAGAGGCCAAGTAAGGAAGAATCTTTTTCCCCATTCATCTCAACGTTGGAAGCATTAATTTCTATTTCCTTGTGGCTGTAGTATTTATGGAGGCTTACTTATCTAAAAACAGCAAGAGGAGGGTTAGCCTGTGACCTGGTAGTTAAGATAGTTTGATCCTACATGGCTGACCACTTGGTTTGAGTCCTGGAATCAGTGGCTTGAGAAACATACCAGGTACACACATATGTGTGGTCAAAACTCTGAAAGGAGGGAGAAAATGGAGGAGAACAGATTGTAGTGTGACCATACCCCATAAGAGTAGTTTCCTTGCTTGCTCTCTCTCTCTCTTTCTCTCTCTCTCTCTTCTCTCTCTTTCTCTCTCCTGCAGTGGGCATACATGTCCTCTGGTTAATTGTGGGGAGGGGAGCAAGCAAAGGGAAAAAAGGCAGACAGTGATGTTAGCAAGACAGACTAACATTACATAATACTGTATAATCATATAGCGACATTGCATCACCTTTGCCACATTCCATCAGTTGGAATAAAGCTATAGGCTGTGACAACAGTAAGAAATGGCAATTATTTGGGCCACTTTAGAGTCCTCTGCCCCAGTGCCCCCTCAGGCCAACAATGATTCACATCTCTTCCACACACAAAATCTATTTTCCCTCTCCTAAGATTCTCAAGAGTCTCATTTTATTACAGCATCAGCTCACATTCCAAGCTTTCATCACTAAAATCAGATTCACATGCAGATGAGCCTCCTGGGTGTGCCTATTCACTACCTCTCCCTGGAAACAGCTCCCCTCCACATATGGAGCCGTAAAACTGAAGAGAGAAGTTGTCTGTCCTAAGTAGCCAACATGCAACCGTGGGAGAGGTATAGAACAATAGCTTTAGGCATCCCAATTCACAAGACGAAAAATGGAAAATGAAGAAAAAGTTCCTGGCCAGAAGTCAAATCAACCAGACAAAAGTCGAGAGTTTCTTCATGAAATTTCAAAGGCTGAAAATAATTTTCTACGGCTCTCAGCTCCACCATCTAAGATCTTGGCTCTGCCTTTGAGTCATCCTTCCTTTTGCATAAATGGCAGCATGGTTTTGGGTTTTTGTTTTGTTTTGTTTTGTTTTTCCACCAAGTAGTTTTAGCAGCCTGCTTCCTACCTGGAGGATGTTGGGAGTCCAACAGCCTCCTTTCATTTTGCATTCTCTCTGTTTCTTTCCATTCTAGCTGGAAGTGTTTCTTCTGAAACAATTTTCTCAAAAACTCTGTGGCTCTCCTTTGGATTTCAACAGGGTTCATTCCATTACATAAAGTCACATCTACGGCTCTTTTCTAGTTCTTCTTTCTGTCTGTGGCTCCTGTTGAGATAGCTGAAGAATAACAAACTTAAGGATCCTAGACTCCCTTCGGTTGATTGATGGGCTCTGTAAGGAACATCCTTAATCTCTTGAAAAAGCCCCTCCTACGACTAAGTACTCCTATCTTTTGATCTTTCTGAAGTTTTATCCAAAGGTTGTACAGTCACATCCTCAGCTTTCCTGTAGGCCATGGAGGGTTCATTTTATTATCTTTTGTCATCTGGAGAGGCAAAGACTTTTCAAAATCAAGCCCTAGTTTTTTTGTTTGTCTGTTTCACAGTCTTCTCAATATGACTCTTTTATCTCACATTTTCTCCCATGGAGTCTTCAATAGTTTGCTCGGAAATATCTCTAGCTACAGTTTCTGCTTTCCACATAACTGCTGGAAACAACTTCTCTAACTGCCTATCACATAGCATGAATCTCCTTTCCTTTATTTTTTAATACTTATTCATTTATTTCCATTTGTTGTTGTTGTTATTTAATCTGACTAAAGAGAGAAAGAGAAAAGGAAAGCACGAAAACAAGCTGCCAGGTTCGGGTCTCAAACCTCAGTCATCCATGTGGGAATCCAGTGCCCTTAACCACCATGCCACCTGGCAGCCCCTCCCTTCCTTTATTTATTTTTTTAATAACATGCTCTTTACTTCTTTTTTAAACTCCAGAAGGGTTTTTAAAGTGCAGATCTCTACTAGATTTAAGCAATTTAGGCCTTTATTATCATAATCCTTAAGATATCTCTCCCTTTCACCCACTGACTGGTTTCAGAACCATTACAAATTTTTGGGGGACTCATTACAGAAGTACCACATTTCTAAATACTACAATCTGCAGATGTTTGCTCCTGCTGCATACCAGATCATCACAAACTTAATGGCTTAAAAAATGTTCACCAATATCTTACTGTTTTTGTGAGTCAGTAGTTTGGACATGACTTAGCTAAGTTCTCTTCCTAAAGTTTTAGAAATCTTGGTCCAGCCACTGTGGGGAACAATATGGAGATTCCTCAAAGATCTACAAACAGAAATACCATATGATCCAGCAATCTCACTCTTTGGTATCTACTTAAAGGATTGAAGAATTCTTAATCAAAAAAGTGCTTGCACATCGATGTTTATTGTGGCATTATTCACAATTGCTAAGACATGGAACCAACCCCAATGCCCACAAACAGAGGAATAGATTGAAAAAGCATGGCACATGTACTCTATGGAATATACTCAGCCATAAAAAACAGTAAGACCCTGACTTTTGACAGAAAAATAGATGAATATGGAAGATTTACTGCTGAGTGAAACAAGCCGGGCTATGAAGGAGAGACATTGTATGTCTCCACCTAATATAAACTGAGTGTTCACACTCTATGGCTGAAACTGAATGACTAGAGGGTATAGAAACAGAAATGGTTATAAATACCAGATTCACTGTGGGAAGAGGGTAGGTGAAAGAGAGTCTGAGGAGAAAAATAGAGAGGTAAGGCATTTATGGGACAAAGAAATTATTTATTATGTGTTGAGATAGCATGTATAATATTCTCTTTTTCTTTTTTTATTTTCTTTTTCTTTTTCTTTTTTTTTTTTTTGGGGGGGGGAGAGGTTTTTGCTATAGGGCGTATGCATTTGCCAGAAAGACAGAGAGAGACAGAGAGACAGGAAGCAAGAAATCAAGAAATCACCCCCAAGGGGGAAGATCATGCCTCAATCCCTTCTCCTCCATCCTCCTCCTCTCAGGATCTTGGGCACGCATGTACACACGCCTGGCATGAGTTTAAGCCTCCATGTCCGACATTTGAACTGCAATCAACTACATGGGAGTCCAGCGACATAGCCATTACGCCAACTGCTGGTCTCAATGGGTATAGTATTCTCAACTGTACTGGTGAGAAATGTATACATGTTGGAATATTCACTTTACAAGCTAAGTGACACGTGATTGAATATATAAAAGAAATTGAAATAAAAATATATTTTAAAAAGTTAAAAAATGAAGTTTTTGAAATCTGTTGGCAAGGGCTGCATTTTTATCTGGAGACTCTACTGAAGAGGAATCGCTTCCCAGCTCATGTGGTTGTTGGAAACATTCAGTTTTTTATGGCTGGGGGAGGTATGTCAACTTGCTCTGTCAAAACCAGCAAGGGGCCCAGTCCAGTGGCTCGGGTAGTAGGAAACTGAAGTGCAATACTGAAGCATGGAAGAGGCCCAGGTTTGGATCCCAGGTCTACATAAACACATTGGGCATACCTGTGCACCCTTGCCATCCTGAAGCATAGAAGAGGCCCAGGTTTGGATCCCAGGTCTACTACACATTGGGCATACCTGTGCACCCTTGCCATCCTGGTTGACTGGAAGATTGGAAGGAGGATCACTATATAGCAAGGCCCTGTTGGAGATTCATCTCTCTCTCTCTCTCTCTCTCCATCCCTCTCATGAAAGAGATAAAATTCAACATGAAAAAGGGGGGGAGGGAACAGTAAGAGAAGAGAGGAGTAGATCTGCTGGCAAGATAGAAAATCATATGCTGTAATGTAATCATGGGAATAATATCTCATCACTTTTCCAGTCTGCTGGTTGGAATCAAGTCAGTTTCTGCCCACATATAAGGGGGAAAAGGCTATATGTGAACAGCAGGAGGTAAGGGACCATAGGGCCACCTTGGATTATTCACCCTTTCCCAAAAGTCAATAATCTTCTTCCTTCCTGCTTCCTCACATCCTATTTTCCCTCCAAATCAAAGTATTAGCAATCCCTCAAACTTTTGCATGTCTAAACCTCTGGACATTCCATGTCTTCTCATTGGATTGTTCTTTGGTCCGTGTCCAGCTTTCTATGCATATGTGTGTTGGTTAAGCTTCTTGACACTCAATGGTGGAAGTCAGTCCTGCCCTCAGCACTGCTGCCTGTAAAATGTTGGGTTCTACTTGTATCAAATAATACAGATTCTCTCTACTTAAGGATGAAATATGATACAGGATCTATGTTTCTCTTGTATTTAACTTTATTCTTAAAACTTGGTTCCTGGGGGCCAGCAGGTGGTATAGTGGTTAAGGCACTGGACTCCCATGTGGTTGGCTGTGGTTTGAGTCCCAGACCCAGTGGTTTGAAACTCACACTGGGTGCATGTGTGTGCATACCCAAAATCCTGAGAGGAGAATGGAAGAGAAGGGATTGGCATGGTCATCCTCCTGGGAGTTGATTTCTTACTTTCTCTCTCTCTGTCTCTCTGGCAAGTACACAAGCCCTATAGCAAAAATTTCTCTCAAAATAAAATAAAATTTGGTTTCTGGTTCCAGAACTCAAATGCAGCCTCCACCATATTTGCAGCGTGGTTCCCTTCTCCTTGGCTTTAGAACTACTTATATGAATATTCAGTTACAGATCAAGTTTGAGCCAAGCCTGTTGACTTGCCTCCTTTTCACACTTCTCAATGTTCCCCACTCATGGAAACCAGAGCCATCTCTTCAGATGATCACATTAACTGCACTACACTTCAGGATTCACTAAAACATTTACTCACTCAGCTAACATATCCTGAGTCTGTCTTTGCTCTCTATTATGTGCTTGGATATGCAATGAGGAACAAGACATGGTCTCTATCCGGACTGGCTAACAATCTTAAAATGGTGACAGATAAAAGTAGATCATGGTGGGAATCAGCAGTTAGCGTAATGGCTATGTCACTGGACTCCCACGTAGTCGACCGAGGTTCGTGTCCCAGACCCGGTGGCTTAAAACTCACGCCGGGCGCGTGTGCATGCATGCCCAAGATCCCGAGAGGAGAATGGAGGAGAAGGGATTGCGGCGTGACCATCCCCCCTGGGGGGTGATTTCTCGCTTTCTGTCTCTATGTCTCTCTCTGTCTGTCTGGCGAGCGCACGCGCCCTACAGTGAAAATCTCTCAAAAAAAAAAAAAAAAGTAGATCATGGTCATAGATTGTGTAACATAATATAGAAAACATATTCAAGGGACCAGCAGTTAGCGTAATGGCTATGTTGCTGGACTCCCACGTAGTTGACCACGGTTCAAGTCCTGGACCTGGTGGCTTAAAACTTACGCTGGGCGCATGTGCGCACATGCCCAAGATCCCAAGAGGAGAATGGAGGAAAAGGGATTGCGAGGTGGCCAACCCTGTATAAAAAACCTCTCAAAAAAAAAAAAAAAGTAAAAAAAAGAAAATATATTCAAGAAAAAATATGAAATCATGTGAACGCCTCCTGGACTTAAGGAATTGAAAGCAATTTGTTGTGTTTAAATAGGGAATGAAGTGCATAAATCAGTAAAAAAAAAAAAAAAAAAAAAAAAATTAGTGCTAAAAGAGTTGAAGGTGGGTGACCAGTTGCCAACTTTTAATTTGCAAATTAGATGAAATTTGGGTTTTATTCTCCAAGTAATAAAGAGCCACCAAAGATATTTTTTGGGGGGAGGGGCAGCAGTTAGCGTAATGGCTATGTCCCTGGACTCCCACGTAGCTGACCGCGATTTGAATCCCGGACCCGGTGGCTTAAACTCACGCCGGGCACGTGTGCATGCGTGCCCAAGATCCTAAGAGGAGAACAGAGAAGAAGGGATTGCGGTGTGGCCATCCCCCCTGGGGGGGTGATTTCTCGCTTTCTGTCTCTCTGTCTGTCTGGTGAGCGCACGCTCCCTGTAGCAAAAAAAAAAAAACTCTCCCAAAAAAAGTAAAAAAAAAAAAAAAGATTTCTTTTTTTTGGCATAAAAGTAAACACTGTTTAAATATTTTTGAGGAAAGTCATTCTAAGAAGAAATCTATCAAAAAGTAATATTGTACAATATTCCAGGTTTAGAAATAAGGAACTTAACTCAAGAAGGATTTTAGAGGTTCAGTTGACAGAAGCCTCCTCTTCAGGATGAAGGAGAAAGAGAAATCTGAGTAACTCCAAGGCATTTTTCCTAGGAAAATGCCTGGAAGATGGAAACATGAATCAGGATGGGGAACAAAGAAAAAAAAAGCACGCTTGAAAAGAAAGACTCAGAAATGTAGGATCGTATATGAGATTAGACGTGGTGTCAATGTTTGAGTTCAAGCTCTTTACACCATTTTCTGCTTAACCCACAGAAGTGGATGTCTCTCCAAGATAGGTTTTAGAAGATCTAGAAAGTAAAGGACACAAAGTGATTTTCATTTATCTTCCAAGGGTTGACAGCCTTGTATTTAACTACTTCTCTCTTGGCACACATAGCATAGCTTTCCTAAGTGATGAAAAATTGGTGACCTTTCTCATAAACAGTAATTCTGCTTTTGAAACTCTGGGTGCAGCCGTCTCCCAGAAACAAGATGTTGTCCCAGTGCACTTTTAAGATGCCAGTGCATGAGTCCAGCTGATTGCTTGTGAGTTATGAATGCATAAAAACACTTCAGTCTAGGAAGCACTTACCCCTTTAAAAGCAACAGCTCTTCGTTAACTACGACGTATGTATAATAAGTTCCCTAATGGAAACTTACTTTCATGGAGGAAACAGCTTTATTAGCTGGAAAATGAATACCAGCCCAGCCCAATTCAGAGAGAAATGATGCATCTTACCACATGCTGCATGAGAATATGCCATTCTTGAAAATATTGGTGTGTGAAAGAAAGTCTCATATTTACAACCAACATTACAGCCGTTCTGGAAAGAAAGGGAGAATGGCGTTAATATACTATGAATTTTTAAAACATATTTTTAAGACAGAGTCTTGTTCTGCAGCTATCCTCCTCCCTCAGCCTCCTGAGTAGCTGTGATTACAGGTGAGTGCCACCACAGCCAACTTTCCGGGTGGACAGGGAATCGAACCCAGGCCTCCTGGGTGGCGTCAGCCCACAGGGCACAGCATTGGACCAGTGCATGCCACTGGAAGTGAGCTTTGAAAAATGTTTGTTTGGTTTTGTTTTTTAATTACTGAAGCATTCTAACAGCATTGTGGAATATCTGGAAAAGAAAAGGGAAAACCTGTAAACCCACGGTACCTAACTATAAATTCTTTTATATGTCCCTTTTCAGTCTTCTCAACATAATTGTACAGAGCTTAACAGCTCACATTCTTTTCTTTATTCTTGGTAGTGTACATGCATATACATGAGAGAAAGAGATGAAGGGGAGAGAGAGAGAGAGATGAGGACCCTCCACAGGTGCTGGTCGTGTCACTCTCCCCTTTCTCTAGACTGGCAGATCTTGGGCACGCATGTGCACCCCTGGTGTGTTTCAGGCTGACCATGCAGGGGGTCAGAGCACAGTTACTGTGTGGGATCCAGCTTCTCTTGAGCGGCATGATACCTCTGCACCGCAAAGCCAGCCTGCACGTTTATTTTTTTACTTAAAAAAATCAAATTAAGGTATTTCTATTTTGTTACGCGATGTTCATTGTTAACATTTCTACTATTTACACAATCTTCTATAGTACCAAGTGTATTCCCCCAATTTACCTAGTATGATTTTATTATATTCTATTCCTATATTTTTGCTGTTATAGATAATATCACAATAAACATCTTCTCCAAGAAGGTTTTTCCCTTATTTTAGTTTACTTTTTAGGAATAAATTTCTATAAACTGACTTAGTAGTTAAAATGTTATACTTTTTTTTCTCTTTTCTTTCTTTTTCTTTTTTTTTTTTTTCTGGAGAGATTTTTTGCTATAGGGCATGTGCACTTGCCAGAAAGACAGAGAGACAGAAATCACCCCTGCAGTGGGGACGGCCATGTCACAATCCCTTCTTCTCCATTCTCCTCTTTGGATCTTGAGTACACAAGCATATTCACCCAGTGTGAGTTTCAAGCCACCAGGTCCGGGACTCGAACCACAGTCAACTACATGGAAGTCCAGCAACATAGCCATTACATTATCTGCTAGTTCCTTCCCCCATTTTTTTAAACTATAGGGCATGTATGCTTGCCAGAGAGAGTAAAAATGACAAATCACACTCCCCAGATGGACAGCCATGACGAAACCCCTTCACCTCCATTCTCCTCTCAGGATTTTGGACATACATACACATGTGTCCAGCACGATTTTCAAGCCTCTAGTTTCAGGGCTTGAACCATGGCTGGCCATGTGAGAGTCTAGCACCTTAACCACCATGCCATCTGCTAGCCCCCAATAGATCTTTCTGTGGCTCTTGGTTTATACTGCTGTATTGCTTTTCAGGAGGTTTGCACCAATTTGTCTCCCCACTTGCGAGCTATATAAAAATACCATGTCTCTGACGTCTTCTCAATTGTATTTTTTAAACTAGTTTAAGTGTGATACTCAGTTGTTTTGTCTTAATTTATACTTTGATTACTACAGACATTTTTACTGCTTCCTTAATAGTTCTTCTTTGATGAAATTGTATTTATGTGTTTGCCAAATATATCGGGATACTACTTTTCCCCTTATAACTGAATATACTCTTTAAATGTCATCTTTAACTCTGCTTAAATACTTCCTCTATTGTTTCTTTGGTGATAAAAAAATGTTTTAAATAAATTTAATAGGGCCAGTAGGTAATATAGTAGTTAAGGTGCTGGATTCCTACATGGACAATTGTGGTTCAAATCCCAGACCTAGAGGCTTGAAACAATCCAGGTGTGTGTGCATGCGTGCCCAAAATCCCAGGAGGAGAATAGAGAAGAAGGGATTGTGGCACGGCTGTCCTCCCTGGGGGGTGATTTCTTGCTTTCTCTCCCTCTGTGTCTTCCTGTCTGTCCAGCAAGAGCATCTACCCTATAGCAAAAGTATCTCACAAACAAGCAAACACAAAAAAGAATTCTGTTTAGAAAAAATCCCTCACAATAAATCTAACAATATTTTAATACCATACTGGCATTTGCACAAGTGGGTCTTTATTTTGAATCACCACCCTTATTTGTCCTGACACGGCTCTACAAGATTACTCCTAGGACTTTTGCTATTCCTTTAGGGCTGACTTATGCTATCATCTCAAATGTGTTTCCTACAATTGTAGCAAGTTTTTAAAAAACATGAAAACCCAAGAGGCTATAAAAGGAACTGTACCATCAGCTACATATTAATACAAGTCAATTCACATCATTAGAGATTATAACTTTTAAGTACATTCAAAATGGAAGTCCAGCGACATAGCCATTACACCATCTGCTAGTCCCCTCCCCCCTTTAAATAATTTTGTATATATATCTATACAAAATTATATAAAATAGATATAAATAGATCATTTTGTATCTACTCAATAGATACAAAATTACAAATAAAAGTGCCTTTACTTCCAAAACACAAGTGCATCACACAAAAAAATTTATACTGTAGAAATGGAAAACAAGCACTTAGGTTCACTACCAACTGACTAGTGATATTAATGTCTGTCCATTTGTGTAAATGTGGTGAACACCCATGGGAAACAGCACAACAGCAAAACGAAATGGAGAGATCACAAACGATAGAGTCAAAAGACCCGAGTTCAAATCCTGGCTTTGCCAATTAGCAGTAACTGTGTGAAACGTAACCTGGTTAAGTCACATCTGTTTTCTATCTATAAAATGCAATCGTTTCAGCCACGGTCAGCCTAGGAGCTGTGCATATTTTATCCCATGTCCTTATATCATTTCTGTAAGAATTTTACAGGGAGGACGCCTCTGACCTTTCTAAACAATCACCTCTCACAGTGCACACTTCGTTTTCCTCTCACCCTCCTTCACTGTCCTAGACAGCACATACCGCCTTCTGTTGTACTATTTACCAGCTAATGTATGTGCTTACTGTCTATACCCTCCTACTAGAAAGTAAGCTTGTCGCGGGCAGGAGTTTTCCTTTTTCCCCTGCTGTGTCTACAACACCTAGTAGACCTAATAGCTATTGAGTGAATAAATAAACTATGATACTACTCTTAGCCTACCTAGGTCTCGCATATTTGTACCTTTTATTTTAAAGCTTCTCTTATGGGCAAAATGTATTTGAAGTGACATGGAAAAAATCTCTTTGTTTTTTCATTTGTTGTTTAATTGGGCCATGAGGGAACATTTCTGACTTGGAAAACTTTAGCAATATGCTTGAATTCTTCCTATGCATTTTTGAAACGGTCTCTCTTCTAAGCTAGTGTCAACTCTGTTCTTTCCCATTTATTTTAAATTGAGAGTAAATGGTAACATATCAAGACATTAGGTTATGCATTCAATATAAACTTTGGGCATGGTGCTGAATCTCTGGTAGAATTCTCCAAGGTGGACATTAAAACCCTGGTGAGCATTAATCTATGGAACTAAAAAGGCTTCAAGTCCAGTTTGTACATTATCCTGCCTAAATTCACAAAAATGGGCAGCAAAGTTTGATCGTACAAATCCATGTGAGGAAAAAGAAATGTAAAAGTTATCTTCTTGGGGCCAGCAGGTGGCGCAGTGGTTAAGGCACTGGAATCCCACATGGCTGACCATGGTTCAAGTCCCAGACCCAGCTCTTGCTTTCCCCCTTTCTTTCTCTTTCTCTCTCAGGTGAGCACTATGTGCCCTATAAGAAATGTTTTAAGTAATGATAAATAAAATTAAATAATTATTTTTTTAAAATATAAATTATCTTCTTATGTAGTCAAGTAAAAAAGACAGCTGTGGAAAGAGAGAAAGCTGTCTTTTTCTGGCTCTACCATTTACCAGCTATGTGACTTTTTTTTTCTTTAAGAATTATTTATTTAATTTTATTTATTATTACTGTTTTTTAATTCACTAAATGGTATGTGCACTCAGAGAGAGAGAGAGAGAAAGTGAGAAAGCAAGTCACCAGGTCTAGGATTCAAACTGTGGTCCCCCATGTAAGACCAGCACTTTAACCACCATGCTACCTGTTGGCCCACCTGTGTGACTTTTAATAAAACATTTCATCTCTGTAAGCTTCAGTTTCCATCTTCATATGTGCTAATAATATTTGCCTTGTGAGGCTGTGCGCATTGAATGAGATCGGCATGTGATATACCCAGCACAAAAACTTACACAGTGAGAAGTGAATACAGTAGCTCCCTCCATTCCTGTCACAATGACTTTGAGAGCTGAGGGAGACTCCTAGTCCTGTTTCACCAGCTGCATGACCTTGGGTTTGTTATATGAGTGCTCTATACTTCCACTAGCCAACCTGAAATAAGTTACTGAGTACAATGCCAGTCTTCTCTTGTCATATTGTCGTCTTTGTAAGGACTAAGACAATTCATGTGCAGTGCTTAGCATTCTTCCTGACACATGCTAAGTGCTCAGAAGGAAAGTTTATTAGTGGCACTAATAATAACATTGATGTAAATAAAATTACATTGAAGGGCTAATGTCTCCTAAGCTTGCTCTGTTAGACACAATTTAATGGAAAAGAAAGAAAAGAGAGAAAAATTCTGTTCTTAGTCAGTCTTTCATTTACATATTTGAGAGTGATATAGCTTTAGGAGTTGCAGAAGGCATTATGAATGGTAGTCTTTGTCCTTTCTTCCAAACTTCCAACAATGAGTACATATGACCCTTACAATCAGAAAAACTGATGATCTGGGGCCAGCAGGTGGCATAGTGGTTAAGGTGCTGGACTTCCATGTGGCCAACCATGGTTCAAATCCCCGTCCTGGTGGCTTTAAACTCACACCAGGCGTGTGTGTATTCATGCCCAAAATTTCAAGAGGAGAATGGGGGAGAAGAGAATGTGGCATGACCATTTTCCTGGAGGGTGATCTCTCACTTTCTCTCTCTCTGTCTCTTCAGTGAACATATGCTCTATAGCAAAAACCTCTTAAAAAAATGTTCATTTGAAACATGAAACATAAGACAGCACAAAATATTCAGAAAAATGGTTTACAGTTCTGTCTGGTATGAAGCAAGCAATGTTAATTTTTCTGGGCTGGGCTGTTTTTTGTATTTTACAATGACGTATGTATATCCCGTATAGTCACTGGAACCAACTGACAACTTGAACATTATCGAATATCCTGAGCAACAGCGTCCTAGTTTTACCTTTGGTATGGAGGCAATCGCCGCAGCGTTTTCTAATTGCTGTATGGCTTTCCTGTGGAGATTCAGGTTTTGGAGAGCTACTGCTAAGTGAAAATGACTCTCATAAAGCTGAAAGATAAAAATGGTGTCAGCATACATAGGGTTTTGCATTGTGGGTTTTTTTGTTTCTCAGTAGTAAGCTTTTGGCTAGGTTTAAACTATAAAACAAGTGTTTTCTGACCACTTTAATAATACCACTGATGGAGTCGAGTAAGTTGTTGTGGTCTCCCCAGAGCCATTGAGAACAGACCAAGACACAGGCTCTGGTCTGGGAAGATATGATTCTATGGTTATGTCCCATAAAGGCCTAAATATGAGATAGCCTGAAACGCTCTCTAGTCTGAGAGTTCAGTAGTTTGAAATAGCAGGCACAGTTATTTTATGTTGCAAGCTAGCTCACAGTTCCCTCTAGAAACAATGACGCATACTTCTACAGGTTCCTGGATACTATAAAATTTTTCATCAGTCAGTTTACCTTCTTAACCATGTAGAGTACATTTCCTGGCTCCTGAATAAAAAGACACATTAACAGTCAAAAGGGCAAGCAGCATAGGTAGAAAAATCCAGATTTAACTCCAACAACTTGTCTTTTAGTGATAGGCTAAACTCCACAAAATTATAGAGAAGTCTGTTCTTAAAATCCCAACCATTATCATTCCTGTTATTTTCCAATGTTACAAGTTATGCAGCACAATTTTAAAGTCTTTAAAGAATAATGCATTTTCAGGAAAGACATATATTTCAATCTGATACTGCTAATTCCAAATATGCCTCTTATTTCATCTCAAAGAAGCATTCAAGCACTGGAAGCACTAAACTAAAGAAATCAGACACAGCTCAATGTTCAGAGTCAGCAAAGCAATTCTAAAAATCTCTTCACTCAGGACCAGCAGGAGATGTGGTGGTTAAGGTGCTGGACTCCCACATGGCAGACGTTGGTTCAAGCCCCAGACCTGGTGGCTTGAACCAGGACCAGCAGGAGATGTGGTGGTTAAGGTGCTGGACTCCCACATGGTAGACGTTGGTTCAAACCCCAGACCTGGTGGCTTGAACACACACACACACACACTCACCCATACATGCTGGGCATGTGTGTGTGCCTTCCCAGAATCCCAACAGGAGAATGACAAAGAAGGGATTGCAGTGTGGCCATCCAATCCATCCCGGGGAGTAATCTCCTTATGTAGGATGATTTCTGATTGCCCCTTTTGCTGTCTCTGTCTCCCTCAGACTAGTCCTCACATCCTATGGATCTAGCATCTCCTCCATGACGTGGTTCTGGATCCGCTACTCCAGAAACATGGAAGTCAGAAGAGAGCGTAAGATACATCCCAGTGAGCAAGGGCCTGGCTTCAAGTCGGACTCCAGGCTCATCTCAGAATGTTTCTACAGTGGGAGTTGATCGACTACTCTGAGCTCTAGTTTCCCCACAAATAAAATAAAATGAACCAGGGGGAACTCACCAGTTTCTCATTTCTAATGTTCTGTGGTTCTCTTCCTTGGCTAGTGAATAAATCCTGCAAGGTTTCTGGGGTTTGGCCAAGAAACACTTGGAGATACAATAATAATATACTCTTTCTACTTACAAATAGACAAAAGGAAACCAGAAATGAAACTAAATAAAATTTTTTAAATAAGACAAAAGAAAATCTAGTACTATCTACAGACAATAGGACACAGAAATGAAACTAAATAAAATTTTAAAAATAAGACAAAAGAAAATCTAGTACTATCTACTGCCATATATACTTAATACTCCTTATAATTTCAATAACCACCTTTTCCACAAATCTAATTGTTCTACCACCCTCTACTCTTCTCTGCAGGACCTGTTTATTGCGTGCTCATCTTTCGGGAATGTTTCTCCTGGGTGGGATCTTAGCTCTCCTTCCATTCTCTTCCTCCTCCGTGACTGCCTCTTTCTGACGTTAGCATCACTTCCTTTTTCCCCATCCTAACTGTGTACTTATCAGAAAGTTCGTTCCGGTCTCTTCTTTTTCATGTCCACTCACCTGCCTGCGGAAATCATACTTACTCATCTATTAACCTATCTTTTTGATGTCAGAGATTTACCATGCCACATTCACAGTTCAAAGTTTTTCCTTGATCACATAAGTCTCATTATCTGTAGGACAGATATCTATACACCCTGACATCACATCAGTCTAACCTGTCCAAAATAAAGCTTATCATCTCTTTTCCTTCTTCACTTGCCAAGAAAAATGCAGACCAGATCATCTCTCCAGTTCTCTCCTTTTATTAATAATCATGCTCACCTCTCAAACCACCAGCTCCCAAAATTCAGCCATATTCTCCTGTGGTTAAGGGAGATTCAGACTACCTGGGTTCAAATCTTAAGTCAGCCACTTACTGACTTTATGACCCCGGAAAGTTATTCAGCCTCTCTGTCTCTCAATTATGTCATTTGTCAAATGAAATGAAATAACACCTTCCTCACAGAAGAAGTGTAAGAAGTAAATTTCAATACATTACAAAGTGTTTAGCACAGTGCCTATCTTGTATGATATGTTTAGTAAATTATAGTTAACCAAGTAAGCAAATAAAGCAAGGTATGATTAACTCCAGGAAAAGCAATAAATTGCCCAAGAAAGGAAATGAAAAAATCATACCTTATGTGCGGTTCACCTGTGAATAATCATTGCATCGTAATGATGTAAATACCATATGGATTTAACCAAAGATTGTGAAATAATTGGGAGGATGGAGAAGAGTGTTTATATATGTAGCTGGGGGAGTATGTACATATTTGTGTGTTTGCTTATGTGCATGTGTGATATTCTGTGCCTGAGAGAGAAGATGTAAGAGCTAAATTATCTTCCAGAGAAGAAACTCAGTATGTAATGTCTATAAGACCAAGAAATAACAATATAAGCATGTCATTGTAATATATAGGGGTAAGTACTAGGGGGAAAAAAATGAATTAAAATACTAGAAGTGGGACCAGCAGTTAGCGTAATGGCTATGTCGCTGGACTCCCATGTAGTCAACCATGGTTCGAGTCCTGGACCTGGTGGCTTAAACTCATGCCAGGCACGTGTGTGTGCATGCCCAAGATCCCGAGAGGAGAATGGAGGAGAAGGGATTGCCAGGGAAAGGCATGGCCAACCTCCCTGGGGGGTGATTTCTCGCTTTCTGTCTCTCTGTCTCTCTCTGTCTTTCTGGTGAGTGCACGCGCCCTATAGCAAAAACCTCTCAAAAAAAAAATATATATATATATATTTCAGGAATATATATATATATTCGAAGTAAAAATCAAGGTTAGGGTGGGGTAGATCTTAGGGACGTCCTCTTTGTTTCTTAAAAAGTAAAAATAAGAACACCTTACAGTATTATTTCACTTAAAACATTACTTCCAAGCATTTCTCTGATAAAAATAGAAGCTTGAAAAATATTTCCTTGGGCCAGCCTCATAGCCCAGCACTAAAAAAAACCAGATTCCATGAGGACAACTGAGGTATGAATCCCAGACCCAGTACCTTGAAAAATGCACCATCTTGACAAGAAGGAAAAACAAACAAGATCACAGCATGACTATTCCTTTGAGGCGTGCTTTCTCTTGTCTCTATCTGGTAAACAAATGAGCACTTGCTTGGGTCCCATAAGATCAACTAAACAGTTCTAGCTTGAAAATCATGCTGGGTGCATGTGTTTACCCCAAAATCTCAGGAGGAGAATGGAGAAGGGATTGCAGTATAGCCAACCCCCAAGGGGTGATTTCTCACTTTCCCTCTCTCTCTCTTTCTCTCTCTCCAGCAAGTGCACATGCCCGGTAGCAAAAAATTAATTAACTAATTAATTGAAATAATTTAGGTTAGTCATCGCTTCTATTTAAGCATGACACAATTTTTATTGCTTTATATCTTTATTAGGTATCATGCTGCCAACATATTTGGAACAGTATTTATGAAAACAAATTATTTCCAAAGTATACTGAATTTCGCTAATTAAAACAATAGCTCCAGCACAGTTTTTTAAATCTCCCAAATATGTGCTGCCTAATAAGTTTAGGTGGGCTTGTTATTCTTCCCTAAAAATATAAAACAAACAAAATTTATGGTATTTAATAAAGGTAGAGGAATTCAAAACTTCCTGTTAACACTTACTAGTAATTAATGGTTTAGAAGATGACTTGTGCAAATTGTCTAAACTCAATTTGATGGACTCAGGAACCCAAAAGAGCATTATCTTTAGAATGTCTTGGGGATAATTTCTGCTTCAAGTAATGATTCGTTCCAGTGAGCTTTTCAATATCAATCATTATCTCATAAACGTGAAAGTCCCATTCTATTCTACAGCGCTCAGCATGGGTAGTATGGCTTAATAAAATATCATCTCACCCCAATTAGAGTGGTTATTATCAAAAAGACAAAATATAACAAATACTGGTGAGGATGTGGAGACAGGGGAACTCTTTTTACACTATTGGTGGGAATATAGGCCATTATGAGAAACTGGGTTGTTGGAAAAGTCATGATGTATTCTTTATTTTTTTCTATGAAAAAAATTAGTCTTTTCTGACAACCCAATAGTAGAGAGCTTCCTCAAAAAACTAAGAAGAGAACTGCCCTATGATCCAGCACTTCCACAACTAAGCATATGTCCAAAGGAAAGGAAATCAGTACATTATAAAGATATATGTACCCCAATATTTATTCTAGCACTATCTACAATAGCCAAGACATGGAATCAACCTAAGCATCCATCAACGGATGTACACACACACACGCAATCAAATACTATTCAGCCATTTAAAAGAATGAACACATAAGAATAATCTTACTCTTTAAGCTGCTGAAGTGTCAGGAGACTGTCTCGCAAATATGTAGCAGTAATATTTTATTCATTTAGTATTATTTATTTTACTTATGTATTTCTCTGTTCAACTCAGTTGATGTTAGAACTAGAATCATACGTTAGCAAAAGGAGACAGTCTCAACCTAACAAAGAAACTAAAATTATTTCTCATTATTTATTTTATATTGAATGTTTTGACCCTAGCACTTTTCTACACACAAAACACAAATATCTTGAAGATTTTTCATATATCA